TAATTTGTGTATTCCTGGCAATAAATATGTATTCTTAAATCAAAACCGTTTCTCCTGATTGAAAACGTATGAGCCTAGAACAGCTCAAATGTCAGATTCGTGTAAAAAGTGAGATTTTGGTCCTTTAAAACAGGGGTTGGGGGGGGTGCTAGTGAATTAATTTCAGAAAAAGTTTGAGAAACACTGCGCTAGTGGATTGTCAAAGAAAAAAATGTCTATGCAAACGTTATTATTAATAATAATTAAAAAANTGCTGAAAAGCTCTATGGAGATGAGGAATTCATTTTCCAGCATGATCTGGCACCTGCCCACAGTGCCAAAACCACCAGTAACTGGTGTACTGACCATGGCATTACTGTCCTCGATTGGCCTGCAAATTCCCCTGACCTGAACCCCATAGAGAATATGTGGGGTATTGTGAAGAAGAAGCTGAAAGACACCAGACCCAACAATGCTAATGAGCTAAAGGCCGCTATTGAAGCATCCTGGGCATCCATAACACCTCAGCAATGCCACAGGCTGATTGCCTCCATGCCACGCCGCATTGATGCAGTAATCCGTGCAAAAGGATTCCCAACCAAGTACTGAGTGCATTAATGGACATTTTCAAATGTTTGATTGTGTTTTGCTGTTATAAATCTTTTTTTTTTACTTGGTCTGAGGAACTATTCTAATTTTTTGAGATAGGATTTTTGAGTTTTCTTAAGCTGTATGCCATAATCAGCAATATTAAAATAATAAAAAGCTTGCAATATTTCAGTTGATTTGTAATGAATCCAGAATGTATGACATTTTTGTTTTTTTAATTGCATTACAGAAAATAAAGAACTTTATCACAATATTCTAATTTTCTGAGACAGTCCTGTAGATCATCACTTGTCACTCGCCAAGTAATGCTCTTAAATTTGAGTCTGCCTACAAACGGAGAGGACTGTCTTCCTTTAGGGATTATTAGTAAGGCAGTATAGCGGAGAAGAGGAATGATTGTACTTATTTTTGTAGCTTAATCTTTTCACTGCCAGTTTGTTAGTTAGTTTATTAGTGTTTTTTATTGAGAGCCTATACAGTATACTAATCTGCCATCTGATTAATGTGATGCGTTCGCTTGGAAAGCTGGCAGATGTGGCATAGTCCAGAGAGATTCACATGTACCGGCTGTGTGTTAAAGTAAATGTGTGATGAATGAAAGGAGCATTTGTTAAGGTGGATGTTACTTACATTTTAGTCTGAAATGAGTCGACATTCTGAGACAACGAAAGGTTGAATGTGAAATAACTTGCTGAGTATGCAAAGGGAGAACTAAGAAAGCCACAAAAGGTTGAAGGTCACACATTTTCATTTGCATTGACCATCAAACAATGGTTGAGCTGGCGCCACATGTCTAGCGAAGCATCTCGCTGTGACCATGGTCTTAGATTGCATCGATTTCTGATTAGACTTGCAGCAATTTGTACTAAATCTGCTAACTTTCAATAGCTTATTTCATGCTTTGAAATCATATGAAATCCAAAGTACATAAAAACAATATTTGTCTTTACTTTAAGTCATGTTTTTGTAGCATTTGGATTGTGTGCAGAAACATGTAAGTGACTTTATTAAGTGGCATCTACTGTATGTGTCTATTTACATGTTCTGGTGTTATTATTCTTATTTTAAAGTAATCCCTAAAATCCCCACACTAAGAAAGTATTAGTCGATTTCTCATTTCTGTTTCTAATTTCCTTAATCCTTAATTCATCTGCTTCTATAGAAGATTATCTTTGAAATTGTGATGCTTGATAAAATATAATGGCAAAGTTATGTAAAAATTGCAGGTCCTATTTCCAGCTCTGCAGTAAATTGCTTGAATGAGGCAGCAGCAGGTATTTGGGTTTAAGTGGAATATGTGTGGCTGTAGCTTTTAAAGTCCTTTACAATCGACAAGTTAGATGCCACCTCAATAACATTAGCTTGTTTACTTCTACTTACATTCATTATGTTTATGTTTATTTAGGATCCCCATTAGCTTTAGCTCTTGACAAAAGCTACTCTTCCTGGGGTCCGACACTTAAAACAATACAACAATAATACAACAACATCGAAGACATAAGTCCTGACATCATTAACAACATTAACAACATCACCAATATCATCAACAATCTCCAACATCATCAACAATGTCATCCACTTTCAATATCAATCTCAGCCAAGGATGAGTGCACTAGATACCCACCAGTACAAAGCATGAGATACAATTAAATGAACAGCTCACACGGGTACATGGTGATTAGTAGATGGCCCTTCAATCTCTTCTTGAAAGAGGCTCTGGACTCTCTTTCAGCAGCAATGACTTCCATTCCTTTATAGCTCTATAGATTGACTTTAAATCCACAGAAACCTTTTTATACACACCTCTCCCTCCCTCTCCTGGTCCCGAGGAACCCTCAGTCTCATGCAGCCGTGTGTTTGTTTATGGAATCGTTGTGGACATAATATAAGCTTCGCAATTGGGAAATAATTAGGAGACAATAATTGGGATTTAAAGTGTGTGTGGCTTTTCACTGCACACGTAGCATTGATTACAGTTTTAATCATATTTTGTCCGTGCCATTGTTTGTCGTTTAATTGCCCTGAATGCGGCGTCGCCTCTGGTGTGACGCAGAGATTGATCACACAAATTGAAGTGCTTGTGACTCATGACAGAGCCCATCTACTTTCAAAGAGAAGTATATTAAGGGGGGCATGGAGGATTAGGACATGGCTAAAAGAGATAGAGTGAGAGGTGCATAGACTTGGCAAAAAAAGTAGAAGCCTTCAGATGTCTAATTGTAAAGAAGTCTATGTGAAAATGACCCTACTTTTTACTTGATTTATAACCCGAGTAAACATTGTCTTAATGAGTTTATCGTCTCCATTGCTAGTTTCTAGTCTTTTCATTACAGCATGATGTTCAGTTATTAAATTAGCATCACGCAACAAGCAACGTGTGTTTTAGGGCGTGGCTACTTTGTGATTGACAATTCTCTACCATGGCGGCCTGCCAATCAGAGCAGAGGCGCAGTAGTTTACTGTATATCCAGCTCCACCTTCTTTTCTAGATATGGTCCGTTGTATTTCCATAAAGAAGATTTTAATGTCTTAATGGTAACCATCGATTTTCTAAATATTGTGTAAAACAATCACAAAAAACCTGGCATCCTATCTTAACCTTAATCAATCAAGGTCAATGCCAAACCTGAACCACATCACAAGAGTTTTGCAAAATCGAAGGCTACCATCGAGACACGGCCATCAAAGTGTCATATTAAAGGCCTCAACATGTCCATAAACCAATAGGTGACGACATGGTGGCTACATCAACTTCTTTTATACACTCTATGGAGAGGAGAGGACAGGCGTTAGTGTCAACTTTATGACGGCAGCAGATTCCACAGCACAGTCCAGTGACTCAACTCTAACCATGCAGAGCTGCAGCTGTGTGTGGGCGCAGATCACACTAGGGCTGCTCGATTATGGCAAAAATCCTAATCTCCATTATTTGGGTCAATAAATTATATCACGATTATTAAAAACGATTATCCATTTACTTTGAAAACATCAATTTATTGAAAATATTGTTTATTTTTTTATAACAGTTGATTACCCTGAACTTTAAGTATAATTCAACTGAAAAACCAATAAAAATAAAAATGTACATTCAAAAGAAAAAAAAAGAAAAAAAAAATCGTTTTATTTCGATGATGTTGTTTTCATATTCGTTGAAAGCCAAAATCGTAATTGTGATTAAAACACGATTAATTGAGCAGATCACACACATGTGTAAATACACAGTGTGCTTGCTAGTGTTTTGTGTTAAATAATACCAGCAGAGTTTTCTTGTTTGTTTCTAAATTAATCAAAGAGGAAACCACAAACAATTGAGTGCTGAAGTTGAACATTGTTAATTTTCTGAAATATTGATTGTCCCGTCCTGAGCCATTACAATAATAAAGACATCCAGAGGAATATTACAACATATTGGCATCTTCTAACTCGTTCCTCTCTAATTAACAGTGTGGTTTGAATGAGAAAACACTGGGTCATAAAACTCAATCAGCATGTCATTAGAGTGAGAATCAAAGTTCCAAATCATTTGCCAAGTACAACAGGTGCAAATAATCTGACTTGATTCACTGCTGCTCACACACAGCAGTGCTTAGGCTAACTACAGGACTAACTCAGTGTCATCTGGACCTCATAGAAAGCATGTAAAAGCCCTGCCACAAGTACTGTATATCATATATATCATTAAAGGTCAAATATGCCTTAATGTTGTGGGTTATTGTTCTTCTACCATAGCAATGCCTCCACTCTCTTAAAAAGCTAATCATAATTTAAGAAGGTTGGGGATTTTATGTTTGTTTTTTACGGCAACATGCCCAGTTTGTTTGCAGATCACATGTCTTATTACATATCACACCACTTCCTGTCACCATGGCAATGTCTTAGTCCTTTTCACAGCAGACATGTTGACTTCATTGTAAGAGAAGCACTTATAACATTAATGATGGCTCTGCTCACTTCAAGTGTTCCTGTAGTCGTGACATTGAGCCGTAGGGAACAATAGAAACCATCATGATCTTTTCCTTAATGGGACATGTCAACATGTCTCCTGTCATCTTTGATGGGAAGCAGCATTAAAATGTCCTGAGGGGACAGGGAATTAATGGGAAATGGAATAAAGAGCCTTGTAGGGTAAGTCTCTGCAAGTCGAGCTGCTTCCCCGGCTTTAGAGCCTGGGCTTTGAATTGATCATTAGACTAGTGGTATATCCAGCATTGTCTTACCTTTTACTTCAGCTCATTGTCATTCTAAAATAATATAATGGTTGAAAAGCCTCAATGGGGGGGTCATGTACAGATTTGGAGCAGGTTTTCTTCTATAGCTTTTCAATATTTAGCAGCTTACTCTATAATGAGCAATTCATTTAGATTTCAGAATAAAAAATGTTATCATTACTGACAGGTATGGTTGTGCTTAATAGTGCTATAAAATGAAAAGCATTGCATACAAATAATAATAACAATAATATAGTTGTAGGCTATAGTGCCTTTCATAAAACCAAGGATGCATAATGAGAATGTGAGCAAAATGAAGTGGCTAGTAATAATTAATAAATATGTATCTTTCTTTCTTAGCGTTTAAGCTGTTAAAACATATATTAATAAATTAACAATGTATAATACATTAATTTCCTTTTATTTTATTGTGATTATTTGTATTATTAAAATATTATTACCAAAATGTCTGTGGCCATCGCATGCTGCCTGGGCATGGTGCCACTTGCTATATAGTCTGCATGGAAAGAGATTGGTATATCAATCGCCTTCACTCGCCTCTGTGCAGCAGTCAGTAAGTCATAAAGACGGGACACTAAGGCTCTGGGGGGCGCTTGTTTCTGTAATGGCTGTCAGGTCCAGTCACTCTGTCCAGTTTAGGATTCATTCCGAGCTGAAAATCTTCTCTAAGCTTCACAGAGACTGCTTTGGCCTCCTGGTCTCCGTACTATTCAGATATTATTGCACCTGGATCTTCCTAAACCTCCACATACCTTTTTCTAGGGATGCTACCTGGAGGAAAGTTGTTATACTTTACGCTGTAAAACCTCGACATAAAAGCAGACACCTACACAGTCCTGTTTCCATCACTGCCACCTCGTTTTATGGCAGCTTTACAGTTGGAGAGTTCTGTTTTGGCAGCTTGTATTTCTAATTTTATAGCTGACATTTCACTTTCAAGCACTGCCCGAATCGAATCCTTGAAAATAGCCGTAAAATCAGCTCGCAGCGATAACAGCAGTTCCTACCTAATGACCATGACTTCAGTCGGGCTTACCGGTATCCGTGCTGGGGCGGGGGTCTCTCTAGGTCTAGGACATGTGTTGCCTTTGCAGTAATCAGTTGCAGCCTTGAGTCTATCTACCTATCATATTTTGTCTTCCATTTGGCTATTTTGTGACTTATATTACAAAACTCAAAGGCTCCAATGCGAAAGCTATAGCAAAGTTGTTGCTTATGAAAATCCGAAGTCTGAGGCTCCTCCAATCGGCAATATACTGAAGAAAGGTAAAGAAACAGACACAAGATAATGCAAGAAAATAGTGCATGTGACACAATGGTGCAAGTCAAAGGCAGAGATAAGTCAACTATGTAAAAAGTGAGGACTTTAGGTAGCTTATATTTTTATGATAATACCCTTAGTTTTTGTCCAACTTTGATTTCTTTGGTTTCTTTATACTTAAAAATAGCATATTCTTCCACCTCTGGCAAACAGCAGTCTACATACTACTACACTCACTTCTCACGCTGAGGGTCAATAAAGAGACCTATATATTAAATGGGGAATGATATGGGACTCAGCCAAGGTTTTTTTTTAATGCTGACTCACTATCACAATGTCATGGCTGAACGGGACTGGGACACTATCTTCAAGGGACAGAGATATGAACACAATGAAGTCAAATAACAGTGTGTTTGTGTGCGAGCTGTGTACATTTCAAAGCCATGTGTGCGCTAAAGCTGCTTCTATTCCAAGTGAAACTGAGATAAACCGAGCTGAGCTCCCAACAAAGATCTCTGGGGTCTAAGCACTGTATAAAGTCTGTAAGAAGCAGATTATTGAGTCTTTTCTGTGGCTTTTTGTTATACAAACAGCTGAAAGAAAAACGCTTGTAATCTCTCTTAAAATCTGTCTCTTCTCCCTAAGGCCTCAGTTAAGCCCGAATAAGAAATGTTTCCCGCCACAGCAGAGTGTATTATAGACGAGATTAGATTGATTGCGTCTCAAAATTCAGTTTTTATTATGTTTCCCTCCTTGCTTTTGCAATCAAACAGCCCTCATACATATTAAAAACGGTGCCATTAAAGGCTCTGATAAAGGTGGAGGTTTATGTGGGGCATGTCCTCAGATGTGCCGAGGTGCATTAGCAGTGACACACAGTTTGTAGGGTCATCTCGGGCTCTCGGAAAAAGCCCAAGAAACTGAAACGTACGATATTCTGAATGTCTTTAATCTCCAGTTTGCTCTGGCTGCTGCTTCCTGTAAGACACTGGACATGATTGGGAGGTGCGGTTGGCCGACCAGTGAAAAGAGGGAATGGAACAAAGAGACAGAAAGTAACATTTGGGGACTTCCTTTAAATTCTAAACACTACATCAAGTTTAAATGCCAGACAGAGTCATTTGCAGGACCAGCGACTCTGTGCCTGTTGTAAAGGGGGAGTGTTGAGAGTGTCCTCTGTGACTAATTTATTACAGTTATGGTGACGGGTAAAGTTAATAGAGTCAGTGTGAAGCACTAAGCATCTAAACTACCTGCCATTATTTCTTTACATTTGGGGTACAAGGCACTATTTCTTACGACAGTGTGTGTACAGGGACTCAGGTCCAAATTAAGCACTTAGTAGCACTTCACTCTTAGTTTGCACACTGTGTATAAATGGCAATTATGAGTTCTCCATGTGTGCAGATGTGCACGCCTCTATCAGAGTAGAGTAGGGGGTTGGAGGGACCATGGGTGTTTCTCAATTTCGAGTAAAGCTGCTCCAGAGCCACTATTTCAAGCATACTACGTCATCGAGTGCCGCCGAAGTACTGTTCCAATGCCCAGCATACTTGGAATTCTACCGAGCCCGGCATTTCGTTTGGAGAAATGTCGAGGCTGCACATGTGTAGACTCCGCGGTCTTAAAATCCCCACAATGCTTTGCGCACGGACCAATTTCCCCAAATCTGTGGCGGAAAATGTAAGGCGGGGCCTCTCATATGACGCACACTTGCTCGCCTGTTCCAGTCTTCGTTTTCCGAATGCCAGGAAAGATTCTTGCCTCGCTTCTGAAGCAAAANTACTCCGTTCTGACTAGAAGGCCAGAGAGAAGAAGTGAGTTGTTACCATGGGATGAGTCTCCATGCAGACAGAGAAAACGTTTAACTAAGGTCTGAGCACGGGACCGGGGGCAAAACGCAACATCTTGCAAGAAACAGCATCTAAGGGCTTCTTAACATTTAACAAACTATGAATGTGTCATATCCGCTTAACGGGAAGAACTCAGCTAACAGACGATATGAACCATTTGTAGCTAAACAAAACACAAGTCTAATGCCGAGCCTCTGAATTAGCCCTGAGCTAAAAAATGCTTACGCACTTAGCACAGAACTCACGGTAGAAATAATTTATTACCTATCGGATCTGCACAAACAAGATATCAGATTAAAGCTGATATTCCACAGATTCTAGAGGTATAAGTATCATCACTGTGCGATCGCGGCAGGGGAAGCAAACCCAGACATCACACAATGTAGCTTTACCGAGCCAAAACGGCAAATAGTCTTACTGTTGTTCTGATCAAAGTTGTGTTCAATGGCATTAAAATGATAAAAACGCTGCTGAAGGTGTCTGTGTCACTTTGAAATGATTACTGATAATCCATCATCATATTTATGGCAACTTCAGTTTTCAGAGCGTAATAGCTTTGGCAAACTGCGTGCACATCACTCTCATTCCTCAATGGTAAGTAATGTTTAGATTAGGAACTTTCCCTTCCATTCTATTGGCTCTAACGGTTCAAAAGAGATGTCAATCACCAAAATCGACCAATGGGTTCCAGAGAAACGGCAAATCCACCCAAATGACCCCAAAGGTGGCTCATTTTTGCTAAACCTCTCTAAAAAGGTAAAATGTCACTTGTTTTGTTTTCTTCATTTAGTAAAATCCCAATTAAAAAATAAATAAAAATCCTACAGACTGATTATTTAAGATTTGAAAGTAAGGTTGTAAGACTTTTTTTAAGTAATACATTTAAATTCATTCCCCCCTGCAGCAGCAGAGCCTCCTTGAAAACACAATGAACATCCCCATCGCCTCCATCCTGCGGGGTCTGGGAGGAAAATGTGTTCTCGACTGGGCGCTGGTGTTCTTCCAGAGGAAACACATCTGCCGAAGCTTCCTGGGAGTTTTCAGTGTGTCCCTGGCCGTCGTCGACACCCTCCTGACCCTCTCCGTCACCGCCGTGCACCTCCAGGCTGAGGGACACCTCCTGGGCTTAAAGCTGACCCGGTACCACGTGTGTCTACTGGTCCAGATCCTCGGAGAAGTGTACAGCGCTCTGCAGTGGCCTGTCGTGATCGTGGCCGGTTTGGACCATTTCTTCTCCGTCACTCGGAGGTGGCAGGCCTCCAGCAGGTTGAGCCTCTTTGGGAGCGGCCTGCTGTGGATCCTCTCTGCTCTCTACGTCTTCCTGCTGTCTGACTTCAGGCCCATCATGGAGGAAGTGTTTCACATCCAGATCCACCAGTGCTGGGTCTTTCACACCTCTCAGATCCTGCACATTGCTACATCTCTCCTCCTGATCTTGGGCTGTGTCGCGTTGCATGCTGGGCGCCTGACATTAAAACATCCTCCTTTAAAAGATCAAACTACAGACCAAAGTAGAGCTCACTCCAGAAGAAGTTTTGTTCTCCAGACCCTGCATATATTTCTGAACACATGGGCTCTGCTCCTGGTGATCCTGGCCGTGCTCCTCCTGCTGCCTGTGGGGATACCTGCGTACCTGGGCCTGAACGGAGCCTGGCTCTGCTTCCTCAACAGCCTCCTGATAGCAGTGGTTTTATGTGCAGTGTGTCCAGCCTCGCAGCTGGGGCAGGGCGGGGGGGCCGTGCCCCCCGACAGCTTCTGTGAGTGGAGATTTACACTTAGCCCGCCTTCGGAGGACAGAGCACGATCACACAGGTAAACACAAACAGGTCTCGTGTTGGAAGATGTGGACTAAACTCTTGAGACCTCAATCTGGACCTTTTTGGTCAGACCAGTACTTTGGCTCATCCAATACCAAGATGGTATGAGGCAGAGGAGGATTTGAGGAACTCTTTATATTGTCAGTTGACACATTTTGTCACTCCAATTTCGCAATTGTGCAAGATGTAGTCATGCAGCTTTGCAGATGTTCAAATTTAGATTAGACGGTTGAGTTTAAAGATGGGTGTGGTCCGAGCGAGGGCGACAGCAGGAGATGTGTGAGGAAGAAGCCCCTGACCCAATTTTGCTGAGTCTGGTGGGATTGCATCAAGAGATGATTTTCAAAAACAGGCCCACCTTCACTAGCTGCAACATTAAAGTGATGAACACATGAATGCATCACTATTTATAATCCCAAAGTACGCTGTAATATATACCAAGTACCAATATTCTAATTTTTATTATTATTTCTACACTTTGATTTTGCTACTTTTTATATTTGCATACTTCTTCCAGAACTGATCAGATATACAAATATTGTTGTAATTATTGATTCCTCTGCCAAATGATCATAAACGTATTGATCATGGAGTCAAAATATAAATGTGCTTTCATATAACACAAAAACAGTGAGGCTGAAACCAGAAGATGTTATTTGTTTGAAGTAAGAAATTAGTTTTCTGTTGATCAAAGACTGATTGAGCTCTTTCAGTTCTACACATTATTATTTTAAGAGAAAGGGATTTTATTTTATTTTTTAACTTGAGTGCCACTCACTGGCTTCATTTTGTCCATACTGTTGTTGACTTTAAATCTCCATTATCAGCTTTAGAGACGATATGTACAAAACCGGGTTCATACACTTTTTCACCAATGACTTTTCCATGACTTCTCCATGACCTTTACCTAATTTTCCATGACCAAAAAAATTACTCTTTCTCAGCGGCACCACTGAAAATGGTTTATTTTAACATGGAACAGGAAAATAAGGTCTGCATATGAAACATGATCTAAAACAAATCAAATCAAATAGTAAGCTTACTAGCTTCTACACGCTAAAGCAACTCAAATCTCTCACC